CAGCTTAATTTCTCAACCTTTGTCAATAATTTATTTTAAATCTGGTATCTTAATAGTCCAGTAAGATCCCACTTCTGAAATATTTAAATATTTAAAATATTTGTATGTATGTATATGTATATATATTAATAACCTGTATTTGCCTTCTCTATAAAAGAGTTTCGAGCAATGGTAATTTATACAGATAATTCCCCCAGCTTAATTTCTCAACCTTTGTCAATAATTTATTTTAAATCTGGTATCTTAATAGTCCAGTAAGATCCCACTTCTGAAATATTTAAATATTTAAAATATTTGTATGTATGTATATGTATATATATTAATAACTTTATATTTTTTCATTTGGCTTATTATCCCATTTTGCCACAATTTGAACTCTTTATTTTCCCAGTTAGGACAACATTTCAGCTTGTTATAGGTAGCTTTCTTAATTCTGACTAATTTGTAAATACTCCATTAATAAGTATTCAGAAGAGCACATCTAAACATTGCAAATGTGACATTTCTTTTGTGGGTTTTGTTAACCAAATTACATTATATTCCAGTGGAAAAATTGTTGCTGAAGAGTACAGAAACATCTCCATACAAAATCATTACAGGCATGGCTCAAGTATTGTATATATATTCTGTAGGATCACTAGCTGACAGAAGGTAGGCAACACAATGAAGCAAAAGGGCCAGATTTTCTCTGCTGAAAGATCTGGTAGGCTAGATAAAACACTGGAACTTTGACAAAAAGGAAACCCTGATACCTTATGAGGGTTTTTCCTCCAAATTTTTCAACAAAGAGAAAGGATTTGATTTGTCCACTGAGTCAGTCACCGCAATCTTCTTCATGGAGAAAATCATCCCTTCCTAGATGATTCAAAGTTAAACACGCAGATGCTCTAACAAAGGATCTTCTCTTGCTGGCTTTCCTTTGGGAAAACTACAAGGTGGCTGAAACAGAACCAGCATATGAGGGCACCCTATATACATTCCTGCAGGGATTGGAAGCAGGACCTTATGACCAAAAGGAGGTTCTCCAAAAGAATGTACGTCCTTGTATGTGACTTTAAGATACAACAGCAGTCTTCCAGATGTGTGGACTTCAACTCAGAAATAGCCTCTGGTAGAGAAATGGGGGAAATCCATACATATGAGGGGTACTAAGGTTGCAAAAGGCTGTACAAAAGCAAGTTCTATTTAAGCCTGTCATCACTCATTCTTTTATGTAATTATTTAAAGTCATATAAATATAAAATGCAAACAACTCACTTTGTTTCACAGCCATCAAACATTCCAGTGTTCACTAGATATGGACAGACAATTGTGGACTTAATACCATTCTTTTTCATTGCCAACATCTCTGAAGCTAGAGACTCAGCAAAACCCAGCACTGCAAATTTACTTGTACAGTAATCTGAAAAGTGAGAAGGAAACAGAACAACATGTGGATAAAGCAGAATATTCTTCCTATGCAAAAGAGTTTGGATATCACACATAAGCATCACTAACTGAATAAAAATCACAGGTAATTGGCAATTTTTGTTTGTATCTTCAGAGGACTATTTCTTGAAATGTGACAGAACGAATAGCTATTAAATACATGGGCAGCCATCATATTCACTGTATTTAATTCAATTATTTGAAGTGCATTGGCCTGTCACTTTTTCAAAACTTTCAAATACTTCTATACATTTGGTTACCTTTCATTTCATATTTTCTCCCACTGCTCTTTTTTTTCAGAGCCAAAATTTAGATTACTAAGCTTTCTGAAGAAGAGAAGTATTGTTTAGATCAATGCCTTGTATTACTACTATAATATTAATAGTAATTTTGTGCCTATAAACCTCAAGGAACTAAAGTGAATGGACTGAAAATTTGGCATATAAATCTATGGAGGTTTATGAGAAAATACTAAAAGATTGGAGGACCTTTCAGAAGCTCTGAAATGTTGTTGTACCTACCTGATGAGGTCATTGTTGCAATGAAATTTTAAAAGCTATTTCTTCATTTAGTTTTTATTTATATTCATATGTTGAAATGGATCTGTTAATAGATATAAATCTATGGAGGTTTATGAGAAGCTACGTGGAGGTATTATTATACAGTACATTTTTACTAATTTAAATATAAATGTGTTCACTACTGCAGTCTGTTGCTTCTTGCTCAAAAAGGAACTTGGACTTATAGCTTGATAGTTGCTAACTTTTTGGTATTGCTTTGAATTGTGGTCTTAATTAAATCACATTTTAAGATTAAAAGTACTTTTTAGTCTGTTCTGCAGCACTTTTTTATATACTAACCTGCCATTTTGTTGACTCCATTAAAGCCAGCTGCACTTGAAATGGTCACCACATGTCCATGATTAGAGGCTACCATGGCTGGAAGAAATGCTTTGACAGTCTATGGAGAAGAGGACAAAACAGATCCATTTCAACATATGAATATAAATAAAAACTAAATGAAGAAATAGCTTTTAAAATTTCATTGCAACAATGACCTCATCAGGTAGGTACAACAACATTTCAGAGCTTCTGAAAGGTCCTCCAATCTTTTAGTTCAGCCAACTGATTCTGGTTCCTTCTGGGTTGTTAAAAGCAGTCTGGGAGGGATGGGCCCATGTGGTGGTATCAGACTCTCTGAGAGAGAGATTGGTCCTGCCAGCCTTGAAGAAGGCAGGGGTACACTTGCTCAAGAGGTCACTGCTGGATCCCTCCTTTCTGGACAATTATTGTCCAGTCTCCAAACTTCCCTTTGTGGGGAATGTTTTGGAAAAGGTGGTTGGACAGTGCCTACAAAGGATCTTGGATGAAACAGATTATCTGGACTTGTTTCAGTTAGATTTCAAATCGGGGTATAGTATGGAGACAGGATTGGTTGTGCTTGTTGATGACCTTTGGTGGAGCCAGGATGGGGTAGTGCATCCATCCTTGGGCTCCTTGATCACTCAGTGGCTTTCAATGCCACTGACCATGGTATCCTTCCGGACTGGTTGTGGGGTTGGAAGCGGTAGCACTGTGTTATACTGGGTCACCTCCTTCCTCAGAAGTCAGTCTCAGTCAGTGTTGAATGGGGGAGAGACCGTACCCATGGCCTCTCAAATGTGGAATGTCTCAGGACTATAGCAATCTTAAATAAATAATAACAATAATGCCTGCAGGCTATTATTTACTGAAACCACATTTATGTAGGTAAAGCACCAAGTACTTTATATACTAGAAGGCAATGTGTTCTAGTTTCTTGCAGCCACACTTCTGGTATAATTATTTGGTTCCAGAATGGGTTTCTAATTTTATCAAGAACTGTTAGGGTGAACTGTATTTCACTAGAATACATTTAGGGGAAATAAGTGTTTATTCCAATATGTAAATAGCTGATAATCATTATGAGAGTATATCATAGATTGGTATTTCTGTCTTCTTTTTCTGTCTTCCTTACAATCAACCCAATTTAGTCAATGTTGTCATTTGCATAACAACATCACTGTAAGCCATTTTTAAAATTCTGCATGTCTTAAATTTCACTAGGGTGTGTGTGTGTGTGTGTGTGTGTGTTTAGCAATAGTTTTAGTTTTTAGCTACTTTTGCTATTTGTCAATGTTGGAGTTTAATATAATATGTATACACCATTTTATTAACAGTATTGGATTAAATTGATATCATTGCTGGTTCAATAAATAAATATGTTAGTTTATTTTGCAATGTATCTTCTCATCAGGCCCCAATGACAAAAATATGCAAGTGGTTTAACCTTTTGCATAATACCCTTATCAAATCTGAATTCTTGATTTATGCTAATACAGCTAATCTAGCTCAATTTCAGAAGTTCAACAGTACTTTACTGTGTTATGCTAAGCATTTATTACTTAGTACAGTGTTTCTCAACCTCAGCAACTCTGAGCTGTGTGAACTTCAACTCCCAGAATTCCCCCCCCACCCATGCTGGGTGGGGGGATCTG